CGAATTTTTTCAACATTTTCATGTGTTCGGGCCGTGGAAGGACGACCAGAATGAGGTTTGTCATCAATTGACATTTCACCATTTTTGAAACGGGAAAACCACTCAAACACTTGAGTTTTCCCCATAGCATCGTCCTTGTACGGCGTTTTTAACATTTCAAGAGTTTCTGTTGCACTTTTCCTGAGCAAAAAGCAGAATTTCACCGCTGCACGCTGTTCACGAAAATCATCCATTGCAAAAACGATGATCACACAAAACAGTTGTCACTATAAACTCTGCCGAAACTAGTCCTTACCTTCTGAAGCAACGGTAGTCGGCTTATCGACTCGGGAATGTTAGCTTTATGGGCTCATAGCGGCAAAACACGGTACTACAAAAGCTCTGCCCACAAAAAAATTAGTTCGGTTTCTTTTGGGTACCCCATCGTACAATTGGCTGTAAAATCTAATGTCTTTACGACTACAGTGGCTGTTCCAATATTTTAAAATATTTATAGTCAGTTTGTTAAGATTCTGGTATAATTCGTAAACCAAGCTGGTTCGTGTCGTCCCTCTTATTATTTCTTTTGACGGGGCCAAATGTGTGCCACCTTGTCATTCTCAAGAAGAGGGTTCTTTTATTTATTTATTTATTTATTTATTTCATATCCATGGATCACTATACACGATATAGGACAAGTCAAATACTTTAAAATACAATAAATAAGAATAATAATAATGTACTATGATAATAATAAAATAATGATTCTAATAATACAACTGATATAATCTTTTAACACATGACACTGCTGTACGCAGTTGTCCTGTATGTGTTTGTGGCCCACTGTGTTGCTTTTACACAGCGGGCCACAAACACATACAGGACAACATTAAAGAACCCTCTTCTCGAGAATGACAAGGTGGCACACATTTGGCCCCTGTCAAAAGAAATAATAAGAGGGACAAAACGAACCAGCTTGGTTTACAAATTCTAATAGAATCTTAACAAACTAACTATAAATATTTTAAAGTATTGGAACAGCTGCTGTAGTTGTAAAGACTTTAGATTTTACAGCCAATTGTATGTTATTTATATTGTATGTATATATTTTAATTTTTAGAACATGTACTGTAATAGTGGTTCTAACTGTATTCATGTAAAGATGTCCCTCTGAAGATGTCTTTGAAGACCGAACCACGTAAGGGCATCAATAATTGAAATACGAAAATCATAACCAGTCACAATGAATGGAACTATTTAACTTTTCCTTAAGAAAGTTTATTTCTGCAAGATGAACAACTACCAAGAAAAGATGGAGGCAGCACTTGTGAGTGGCCAAGAGGAAATGAGAGCCGTGATAAGCTCCATCTGAGGCGAGCTGAAAGAATGCATGAAATATTGGGTGGAGGCCATCCTGGTGTCGCTCAACCACAGGACCCAGGGAACTCAAGCCAAAATAGAAGCAACAAAGACTCTAATAGATACCATGCGGCGAGGACTCGAGGCCAAGATAGCAGAAGTCACAGGCAATTTCCTCAAGACTGAGAAGACTTAGTACATGCTGTAGTAAACTGCTGAGTGTGTTAATTAGCAACTGCGCTACAGTCACTTGTAGTTACAATCTGGAAGTATTCACTAAATCAAGTTACCAATTCAAAGCCCGTCTATAGTCACTCACTCAAGTGACAATGTACTATCTTCTATACTGAGAACTTGTGAGCTCTTGATGCATGGAAAATTGTCACTAACAGAGCACAATTTTCTTGAATAAGACACGAGTCAGTTGCTAAACATGATTCTGTGTTCAAAATTTATGACAGAATCATAGTTTATACTTAATTACTTAATTTATGTGTGAGGTATGTAATATCATCATTTCTATGACAGTTCAGGTATTCTGAAAAAGAGCATAAGTAGTGCCAGTATTCCCATGAAGGCCCATATTATTCTTCATCCTGAAATAAAGATTTTATACTGGTGAAAGTTCCCCCTTCAGGGAAGTCCTGAATTGAATACAGAAATTTGTACATACTTCTTCATTTCTACATATAGAATGGCTGAGAACTTGTTAACAAGATGTAGGGATTAGACAACAGAAGAACTACTGTATTGGACTTTCCTTCCATCATTATCAAAACATGGAAAAATAAAATAAGCATATGGTATATATATATATATAGCGCTTGTAGAAAGATTCCCTTATAATGAGACACAGGGTTTGGATTGGTAATTTGATTTACTGAACATTTATAACAAATCTTAACAACATATAATTACAATGCATTTACTAAGTCACGCACTCTGCACTACACTACAACACATGCTATTCTTTTTTTTAATGTTAGTGGGGTGGGACTAAGTCTCTTGTACTGCGGCCACTTCCGGCCTATTGTACGAGCCCCAGATGATAGGTGAGGGTGATTGTGGAGCAATTGGTGGAATGAAGATTGGCAGGGAAAACCAAAGTACTTGGAGAAAACCTGCCCCAGCGCCACTTTGTCCACCACAAATCCCACTTGACCAGACCCGGGATCGAATCCGGGCTGCCACCGTGGGAAGCCAGCGACTAACCGCTTAACCTATGGTGCGGCCCTTAAACAACACATGCTAAGTCCTTTCAGTTTGCTTTGTCTTCACCATTCATTTCCTGGTAACTGATCCAAACTATGTCCTCTGCTCTCATTCTAACATCCCTACTGGCTGGCGACTGTCTCACAACTTGACTGTCCACTCTCAGCTCATGACTGCAAATGCTTATCTTTCCAAAGTCAGAAGTATGAAATTTAAGACAATATTTTAATGAAGAATTTAAAATTTTACTTGAATACAAGCTTGAAAAATTACTTCACTCTAACTCTCAAGCCCAACCAATAGTACCGTGTATGGGTATAAAAGTAAGACATATTTCTAGAATTTGCATCTGCAGTTTGTAGAAAAAGAGAGTTCAAGAAGACAAAATGGAGACTCTTCTTGTCCTACGGTTTTCATAAGAATCTGGTTTGATCCCTGAATGAAGACTCTTTGCTTCAAGCCAGTGCCTGAGAAGTACAGGAAAATGAAATACAACAATTTTTAATTGTAATTTCATTTTGTCCATTCCCATTTTAGAAAGGAGTAGAAATAAATTCAGTTTATTAGCTAAGTTGAAGGTGTAAGAGTATCAAAGAGATTAAGAACCACTGTTTTAAGTAAAGATAGTGGATTAGGAAACTGTGGCATAGAGTGAAAATTTACATTTTTCTGGGTATGAGCATCTAGAAAGGCTACTTACAGTTTGTAAATCACCAATGAAGTCATGACTGAAGGCAATAATGGATTCCACTCTGTGCCGCAACTGAATATCACAAAGATGCTGAAGTAAGTAGCACATCTGAAGTTTAGCTCCTTCAGCCATCTTCATATGTAGCAAGCCCTTCCTATGCTCATCCTTACCATCTGCAATGCATATGTTGTGCTCAACAGTGTTCCTAAATCCTTTCTAGGAGGGCCTGATAAAAGCAGATGCCTAACTTGCGAGATCTGTGATTTTTACATGGTAGACTACGAGTCTTATTTCTGGCATTTCATTCTATATAGTATTATTATACAACCATCAACACAACAAATTCATAACAAAAAAATAATATTACTGTATTAATACTCATTTATTATGTACATGTGCTACCTGCTTTCGATCCAGCTGGATCATCATCAGGCAATTTTCACGATATGTACTACTCATTATTGAATTGTATTTCTAATGTGGATCTATATTAGTGACCATTAATATAATATTTCATTACAATTCCTGTGTTTCATTATATTTGAATATTAGTCTTAAAATGTGTATGTGCATGTGTGCATGCACGCGCACACACACAAAATATTATTTTCAGAATATACAGAATAAATTAATATTCACATTTTCTTCAACGTTTCTTTCTCTTTATATTTTAGAAATTCAGCGTTTTGTGGATTTTCTTGTGCACTCTGTGGCTAACCACGGGTTTAATGGATTCCATGTCTTAATTTTAACTGGAAGCACTTTTAATTATTATATAATATAGATACATATACATCCTTACTGATGGCAAAATTTTGAGCTAGCATTTATATAAATACAACAATTACCTTTCTGGAATGAGTCATCCCACGTCTCTGGGTCTATCATGATGAGCAACTTAACGACATCCTCATCAGTCAGCATTCCAACCAGTAACAAACGATCCACTAATTTCAATAAGGGTCTGTAATACATTGAACACTTAGATCATTATATCTGCAGTTCTTTGTGAAAAGGGGTCAAATTAAAACATTCCATAAACTCCCCTTCATGATCTGAACTGTGTAAGGAATTCCATCTTACATGTTCTCTGTGAAAAGTACATAGTACATGTTTTAAATATGCAGTTTAAATAATGGCATATTTACAGCAGGTCAGGGAATACTTTCTGGATATTTGTTTCCGAACCATAAGCTTAAATGTAACTGTTAAAGCTATCCCTGTAACAGGTCATGGAGGCCCATAGGGTTGTGAGATGTCGAGGCTCCCACATTTTCTCTAGACAATCAGCTCACCGCATGCCCCCCACAAATGTAACTCTGAGGATAAGAATTAAGTATGTCCCAGAAGTCAATTATTCAAGCAACAGTACAACAATTAGTAGCACATATTAGTTGTGACTATGCACCGTGGTTCCATATGTGTTTCTGAGAATTATGCATTTTAGCACCTTTGTAAGTTCATAAAACATCACAGAATATGAATTGTGATATGACATGAGTTGTTATCTAGAAATGGACTGGGGCAGTAAAGCACAAGGATGATTCCATTAAAATTGACACTTAACTGTCATCTTAAGAATGTATTATTATCATGAAGGAACAGCAGAAATGTGGGACATTAAAATAAAGATTCACAGATGAAATCAAATTGATCATGAAGTTCTAAACTGTGTCTCTTGCAAGATTGATACCTGCATAATTTCTCACAAACTAATGCTTCACCACAAATGTAAGATTGCCATTATTACTATAAAAAATGCAATATGTTACATACAGAAGGAGAAGCTTATAAAATCTTATCTCAGTTAAAAATCAACTCATTTTATTATTGATACATTAGGCTATTTAACAATGCTCTACCAACAGACAACGTTACGCAGCATCAGATGAAGTGATGACTGTATATTGATCAAATTCAAAATTAGTGGGAGGAAGTTGACCTGACCTATTTGAAGATAATATTCTAGCCTTTGCCTAGGATGTGTGAGGAAAACCATGAAATCTTCAGCCATGATAGTTGACAACCCACTGTATTGTACTGTATTTAATATACGTTCCAGCACATCCATACAAGGCCAAGCCATTGGATACAGAACCTGCCACACCACAAGCTTCCTAAATCAGCAAGCAGTCAACAGAACAAGGCACATAGATCCACAACAATAAATTGGGTATATGAAATCCTACACTTCGCTGCAACTACATAACCTATCATGTGTAAATACATGTAAAATATAATACCAAATTGGAACATATACATGACAATAGACCAAATAATGGGTCATAGCTAAACAAAAAACCATCCCTAATTAAAATATTCATCTAAAGTGTAATAGGATTTAGTATGTAAAAAGCACTTAGAGCTGCTCTAAATTGCTTAATATTATGGATTAACTCTTTTATATTTAAAGGAAGATGATTAAAAAGTTTAATACCCAGTAAGGTCCTCTCTGGTAAGTTGTCAAATTTGTCTGAGGGTGATAAAGGTCAAAATTATATTTGTAATTAAAACCCTTTCATATCTATTTCTGATATATGATTCAAGCCATAGTTTAGCTTTACCTTTTATCCCATAGAACTCCAATTTCGACAACAGAACCTCATGATTAACACAATCAAAGGCCTTTTTGAGGTCACAAAAAATGCCTCCTATTAAGTTTTTGCTGTTTAAGGTCTTACAGATTTCATTCACTAACTTGTATATAGCCTCATCTGTTGAAGATTTTGTTCTAAAACCAAATTGTTCTTCCACTAAAATGTTATTGTTATTTAAGTGCTCAATCAACTGAATGCTCATAGTTTTCTTAATACTTTAGCGAACGAAGTTAAAAGTGATACAGGCCTATAGTTGGATATATTTGATTTATCACCTTTTTTAAACAGTGGTCTTATTTCTGAGTATTTTAAACGATCTGGGAAAATTCCTTGTGATAATGAATTGTTGCATATGCGAGTCAAAGGAGAGCTAATGAAAAAAAAACTCATTCTTAATACTTTAGTGGATATTTCATCATATCCATAAGAGTTTTTGTTTTGAGAGATTTAATTATATTTTCAACTTCCTTAGTTGATAAAGATTTAAGTTTAATATGTGGAAAGGGATTTATAAAAGTTTTCATTAAATACTGAATGGGAGTAGTGTCTGGAAGGTAATTAATATTAGTATTATTTTGTTTATTTTTTTACATTTTTATTTTCGGCTACAGATAAAAAGTAATTGTTAAAGGTTTCCCCAATTACTTGCTTTTCTCTAATTCATTTTCCGTCCACCTTTAATGTGCATATTTTTTCATTATTTGGCCACAACACTAAACATCTGAAAATGTTTTCTGTGTTTATCATGAAAATTTTATCACATGAATACACAGATGGATGGCCAGAAAAAGTATGATCAATAATTACAATACTATGACAATTCTTCATCATGTCGAACACACTGTGGTACCTTCTGATACTGAGTGAAATTACTGTGTTGTAAGGAACTGTCAATCTCTTCTGAAATTAATTTCTGAGCTTTCAAAGTCTGAGTGACAACAAAGTGGAAATCCATGAAGTGTCTCCTCTAAATTTTAAAAGTACTTTGGAGGTAAAATAAAGAATACTTTGATGTAGACCAGGATAAGAGCACAAAATTATCATAGCCTGATAGGCTATCTAACAGTGCATGCTCATAGTGGTTAATGCAGCAATAAAACAAGACAGGCAGTAACATACTCACAGGAAGAGGTTCTCATTACTGCCTCCAATGGGATCCCTGTTGTGTACCTGATTTATTTGCACAGCCTCATCTAAAGCTGTCATTACAAAATTCTTTACCACATCCAGAGGGAAATAGGGACTGTACAGGCTCTTGATGTTGTCAACTGTCTCACTGTAAAGAGAAAAGTACAAAGTTCTAAAACAAATACATTATATTCAACAATCCTTCTAGACTTTCTATAAAAAATAAATTTATGAGTATTTGAAAACTGAAATATATATGTTGTGTACAAGTTTAATAACACTTTGCTAACAAAGCAGAATTGCTCATAGGTAATGTTCTCCATCTCACTTCGTTCTTTCAACAATCTGAAACTGCACTTACGCAATGTCGGTCATCTTCATCTGTGGTCTCACTGATTCTGTTCTGAGTGAACGTAAACTGTGACCCATTTCAGGATCGTCATACAATCCCTTCAACTCTGGACCCAATGGAATGATATATTCATTCTTACAAACTTCCCTGAAAGACAAAATCATATTTCAAAATGTAAGAACTTAGGTTTTCGTGGTGGTGACTAGGAAAGATAGTCACTTGCTGGTATATGGTGTCTAGTCAGTATCACTTCTTCTTTAACAGTGGTTTACTTACAGTTAATATATGTGTTAGTCATATATATATGTTTATATATAATTAATAATAAACATTTATTTAACTTCAATAATGAGATTCATGAATATACAACTAGATCCCAAGGTAATTTACATGTACCTAGTGTGAATACTTCAAAATTCAATAAAGGAGCCTATATAACATATATTAAAGTGTTCGATCATCTTCCACGATCAATAAAGATTTTGGTCAATGATGAGGAAAGCTTTAAATTTACATTAAAGAGGTTTTTATGTCATCATTCTTTTTACTCTATAAACGAATACTTTCACTATAAAGAAGGCAAAGGTTTGTAATCCAGATATTCTCTTGAATTGCTTGTTAGGTTGATTTTACACATGATGTATTACCCACTGACTAGTCGCTCGGAATTTAAGGGTATAAATGTTATGGTAGTACTCGTATGGTATTGTAATAGACCATATGTTTTAAATAACATATGACTGTATACAATTAAGATGGTCATGAATGGTTTACTCACAGCTCATTTCCTTTTATCTTGTAGACGAATATGTTAATAAATAGTTTTCAAATTTTAACGTTCTTGTTATGAAATGATTGATTATATATACTGAATTTTTATTATATATTCTAATTTTTAGATCCTGATGAAATGTACTATATTTGGACTGTTAAATTAAGTATTTGTAGTTATGTGATCGAAATAATTGCATAAAACTTCTATATTATGAATAGGTCTTTTGTATTGATTTATGATGGTGACAACGATAATCATATATCTGCATAATTTGATCATATTTGAATATTTTATGTACAAATTTTGTATTGTGACTATATTGCATGTCGATGGGTTCATTGTTTTTATGTAGGTGTTTATGTATTTTGACACGTTCTATATCCTATGGCATGCGTGACCTGAAAATGATCTATGGAATTTAAAATAAAGTGAAAGTGGTTATGTTTAGATTTAAAGTAATTTTCAATATTTTTTAAAAAGATTATCTTAAAAATGTGCTCTAGTACTTTTGCTTTTACACATTGTGAACACTTTGCTGCCTGCAAATTGAAATCTACAGAGCAGATGTGATCTTGCACCTCTTGCTGCAAATGTTTGTAGAATTAACATTAATAGGACTGATATACAGAACACATATGTAACTTATTTAATTAAGCAATCTTTGGTGTATGTTGTAAGATATACATGTAAAGGAATTCTGGAACAAATTAAGAAGTGTGTCAGTATTATTCTATAAATTGGACAGCAAAATTATAATAAATTTCAATTACAGTAGAATGAAGTAGCCAATGAATTAAAGAAGAGCATCTATCTTAAAACTTTGAAAGCTATATAAGGTATGCATACCATAACAGTTTTTGAAAGTTCACTCTCTTTCCTTTAATCATCCAGAAAATTCCAAGAATTATGGAAAAGATGTACTGGGAGTAAAGAATTTAGTATTTAATTTTTTCTGCAATTCTTGTTTGAAACATTTTTCACTGATAAATATTTAACCAAGTTCCAGTCAAAATGCATGCAGAAACAAACACATGTCTTCATACATAGTGTCTGTTATTGTTAGCGGATTTTAACTTTTTGCACATCATGAGCTAAATAGACTGGCTCAATGTACTTGCATTAAAAACGCCAGAGCCAAAGAAATCAACTGTGTTAATCACTTGGTATAAGATGCCTATAGATGGCATCAAGTGTGATATGGCAGCGTTTAGATGTAAGAGCATGCTTTCACATATCTACTATACCTATGATCATCTGAACATAATCTGAAGCAGAATTGTGGGATTCTCTGTGCAACTGCATTTAGCTCCACGTAGCTTGGTCTACTTACTAATACTGGACCTTGCAATTTCTAGCAGATAGTTTTAGAGTGTGGCTTGGCAGTTAAGGGGTTAATCAAAATTTGAATATGACAACAAATTTTAGTGAAACATATAAAAATCTATAAGCAGTTTTGACGTTGTTATATACAAACAGAAAGATGAACAACAGACATGGCAAAGCTAACTGGTGCAATTTTACAATGTTCTGTTAGAAATGTGCCATAGGAGGAAAACCAGCATAATGAAAAGAAGTAAATTTTATGAAATATGTTTTGAATTTCTAGTAACTTTCAAGTGTATTTATGACATTACATTTTTCTAAGTGTTAATTCCTTTCCCATTATGTATGAACAACAGAAAGGATAAGCCAGGTAGATGTACTTACATAGTTGTAGCATGTGACTCCAAATGGAGTGCAATGAGCAAATCATAAAAGCCCTGTCGCAGGGGCCCCGACATGTACTCTGAACATATGGCATATAAAAGCTGTTTCTGGTCTACATGGAGACAGAGGGCATGAGCCGCACGATAGTTGGACTGGTAGCAGAGTGCGGCATACAAGGTAAGAGTGTGGGCATGAAAACTGTAAGACAAATGGAATTACATGAAAGTCTTCAATGTCATTCAACACTGTTAATCAAAGCAATTCTTGGGAACCACAATTTACTATATTTACAGATGTTCTATACATTGTAAATTATGTTACCATTATGTTCTCCACTACTGTTGAACTGTAGTTAACTGCCTACAGAAAATGTTGTAAATGTTTTGTTTTTACTGGGTGGATAATATTTTTAATCAAGTTTTTCTTTTATATTATATTTAAAACACAAATCAGCCCATGACTGACTGTGCCCCACTTAGAACTTAATGGCTGACCAATTTTTTGAACTTTGATGGATAACAGTCTTCATGTTCTGAAAGGACCAGTTCAAGATTTCCGTAGGTGATTGGAGTGTTAACTTTGTCAATAAGAGGATGTCATCCTGATACCTGAAATTATGGGTCAGGAAGGATGTAGCAAAGAGAGATGTTCTCTTACCAGCTACTGGACCATTCCCTTCAAATTGTATTTACTCAACATGATGAATTCTGAACATATTTTCTTGCTTGTTAGCTATCAGACTGACCATTTTGAATTTTAGTCTGTCATCAATATTGAGCTGATAGTGGAGCCAGGGAAGTTTGTAACATGCACAGGATCATGAACACAACAGTACATAGACAAAATCCGATGGAAAGATGGCTTAAACTGTAGAATGATTAAGAATATTCAGAAGATGAAGGTTCTTAACAATGAAACATTTTAGCATGATGGTGACTTCAAGTTACTATAGAAGCAGTACCACCTGTAATCAATATATGTTTATCAAGGCATTATACACTGGAGAGATGTGAATAATGTTTTCCTGATATTAACATTGCTGGGAGACTTTATACACAGGAACTGGAGATGCTGAGATCTGAGAAGCTCTTTATATTTTCTCTGCATAACCAAGGACGTTTAGGTCCTCCATGTATAATGCCATCTTGATAATGAGGTCAGTGTTTCCAACGGCTTACAAATACCTCTCTGTAGGTTCTGTAAGAGTTTCATGCTATCATATTCAATGAAGAAAGTTTCTTCAATTTTAAGTGTTAAATGACAGTAAGTAACCTGCCCAGTTGCATGTTTTATCTATTCACTTGTGTTCAGGCAATGTATCGCTTTAAGAATTTGCAATTCATTATCGTACACAGCAATAACCTTAGGGATATCCTTATTATTCAATATTATGCATCTTCTACCAAGACCAACAGTTATGCAGCAAGTTTTGCAAAAATTTGGGGATTTCTTATGTTTTGTATTTTCAAAGTTCAGTAGCACGTGGAACTTCAGGCTGAATGTAGATGAAAAGACACCCTGAGAAGGATAAACATGAACATAGAGCATCAATGCTTAGTTTCACTGTGCCTAAAAATGAGGAACGATTCTCGAGTATTTATTTCACAATCATACGACTTCTTTGCCCACATCACAAAGTCCTTCATCAGCTACACTATCTAATGTACAGGCAAAGCAGGACAGTTCCCTATGTATCATAATAACTATTACTGTTTATTAAATGGTGTTCACATTTACCTCAGCAGACGTTCCATCTCAATTAATTCTAATATGTCAATGCACCTATCTTCTTCTGGAATGTGAAGTGCCAACATGGACACAGGGTCTTCACAAAGCATACTCCAACCACGAATGTCTGACAGTTTCAGGGCATGTACTTGCAAGGACTGGTTAGGAACTCGTGCCCACTGGTGAGGTTTCAAGCACTGCACCTTAAGTCTTGGTGGAAACTGCAGGAAAAAGAGGAGAAGAATAAAAGATTTACTGGAAGTTACATTTTAAAGAGAATGTGGTCATTATAGTCAGCTGCAGATATTGAATGAAGTCTGTGTGACACATATTGTGGTGTACAGACCCATTGCTAGGCAAAGACCTTGAAACAAACAACAAGATAACAGCCATTGCTATGCAATGGCATGGTAAATATGCCTCTACAGCAAGAGTTACTGCTGGAAACGGTGTTTTCTGTGTGGTCTATGCTGAGGAGTTATCTTGAAGACAATTGGGGCAACCCCGGCAATTGTCAGTTGACAGCTCAGTTCTGTATGGGAGGCTGTGAAGAAAAGAGTTCGTTGCAAGAGTGTGGCTGTGAAGAGAAGACATTATGTGTGATATTTAGAGTGCATAATTCAGTGAGACTGTTACAGTTCCTGTGTTAAGATACATTGCCAGGAAGCAGCTAGTGGAGACTGTAATAGGCTAAGGACACTAGTCCACATGTGTCTGTGATCTGTAAAGTGTAGTTACGAGTTGTGAGTGCTTAAATGGGCAATAAATATTTACACCAATCCAAACCCCATCTATAGTCACCCCTATACATAACGATATGTACGTAGGTGAGTAAAATGAAATCCATAAAACTGAGATAAAAATTTGAAATATCGCACCATTGTCCTCTAAGTTGGCCGACATTTTAAACAATTTTTACATTTTTAATTTGACTCACCCTCGTATATTGGACCTATAAGGCACTCACTTTGTTGAGATGCGTGGTTGTTATTCATTCCTTTCTTGGATGTGATATTTGTAAACTCCTTTACGTTTTGTGTCAGAATACTGAAAATTTAAATCAGCTACTTCATTTATGCTGTTTATAATATTACCCTAAGATCCATCTGTTGAACTCCCATAGCGTGAATTTTAACATTTACTTACTGTAGCTGCATGAAGTGCACTATATGAGTATAAATGATTTCATGAGTATGTGCTTCCAAGTAGCAAGTCACAATCTAGATTTTATGGAATCTATCATGGCTAAATTATACTAACTTCAAAATTCTTCATATATATTGGTGATTTCTATGATACTGAATATTCTGCACTTTTATTTGATAAAAACATTCTTGTTCCTGCCTCCATACAGCACTGGCAGATCTTATGCAAGTAACAACTTGGGACTGGTCACATGACTATAAAACTGAAAGGCAATAAACATGCAGAATTTCTTACCTGTGGTATAACATGCCTCTCAGAATTCTGAAGCAGAGCTGCTGAAAGAGGTAGAGTGGTTGATGTTCTACCCAACTCAATTTGCAAAACTTCTTTGCTAGTTGCTTCCACAAAGATGGCAGGGAAAACTTTTGTTTCAGGTTCCATCTGCCAATACAAGAATTATAAGAAATATGCAAGATATTTTATTCAGATGCAATCAATATTTTTATAACAAAACTGAGAACTGAATGACAGTGGGTTATACACATCAATGTGCAGACTTGAATCATAATGAAGATATCTGTGCTTAAAATCTGTGACTCATCACAACTGTTGTCTGCCACTAACATGTAATAATAAACCATAAATTAGGACCATACAATTAACACACTATGATTAAGACCATGCGTAAATTGGTGAAAACATCAAGAAGTCCGTGGACTTTATTTGGACTCAAGCCTTTTACTTTGGTAAAAAATATGACCTGCAGCTTCCTTGTCAATAACAAAGTTATGTATTTGTGTAAGAAAAGACATGATTATGTGTTGTACCATGGTATACATCAATAATATGTCATTAATGGTTATACCTAAATGTCATTTCAAGTGGGTTAAACCATGGTATACATCAATAATATGTCATTAATGGTTATACCTAAATGTCATTTCAAGTGGGTTAAAAGTTGGTTATGTGAAAAGGAAAATAGAATCATTCATTTTTGAGGAAAAGAAAAAATAACCTCACTATCAGAAACCACCACAGTTCCTAACACATTCTAAATCCACGTGTGCATGGAAAGCAAACTTTAAAACTGTGGTTAACATTTCTCAAACAAGTTTGATCTGAATCAGATTGGAGCAGCATCTGTGCATATAAAGTTCGCGAACTCACCACTGCAGGCTTGCCATGGCAGCAGCGGACAGAAACCTCACTATGGTTTGATGAAATTGGCATATCAGCGTTTCACAGCTGTGTTGTTGTTGACCTATGGCAGTCTCTTTCTGAGTGGGGTCTATTATTGTCTGAGCGTGTTTTGGTGTGCCGTCATGAGAATGTCGGAGTTTGAATTAGAGCAATGAATGAACATTAAATTTCTTGTTAAACTTGGCAAGAGTGGAAGCGAAATCAGAGAGATGTTAGTGCAAGTTTATGGGGATGATGTTATGAAGAAAACAGCAGTTTAGAAGTGGGTGACACATTTTTCTGAGGGAAGAGAAAGTGTCACTGATGAAGAGAGATCAGGAAAGACCAATGAGCAAAACTGAGGAAAACATTGTAAAAGTTCGTCAAATTGTGTGTAAAAATCATCGGCTGTCAGGAGCATAGGAGAGAAAGAGAATATCAGCAGAGAAACAGGAAAATCTTAACTGAAGATCTTGATTTGAGGAAGGTGTTTGCAAAAATAGACCCAAAGGATGTGCTGTGAGGAGTTTTTAGCTAGTAAACAAATAACTGTGCTGGAACACTGGAACACCCTCCTTGTTCATCGGATCTAGCTCCCAATGACTTTTTTCTGTTCCCAAAGATAAAGTAAATATTGAAAGGAGAAGGCCATTCCATAAAACCAGTTCCAAAATTATTTTGAAGGGTGGACTAGGCGTTGGGATCAGTGCATAGCTTCCAAGGGGAATACTTTGATGTTGACCACAGTGATACTCAGCAATGAGGTATGTAGCACTTTTACAGTGATGAGTTCGCAAACTTTACTTTCAGACCACGTACACATAAAATTATCTCTTTATATCAAGATCATGATAGTACGACATGTTACAATGCATTAAAACCAACACCCTTCCTTCTGATATTGAATAGGTTTGCATGTAATTATAAATTTTTCTTACCTCTCATGTTAATATTAATTCTGCAAAGGAATATTTTATTTTGAACGTTCATGATGCGCATCCCCCAATATGGAACTAAATAAATAATATTTATACTTTAAAGATTAGTGTATATATTTTCTCACCACTATTAAGCAGTCAAAACCAAGAATTCCAAAGCATAAATTAATGTGGAAAAAGTCATGAATACTGTCACAATAACTGAGCACATCATCTTACTGACTGCATGCATAAATTCCCTTCATATGTAAAAATAATGTGTATGAAATTGATCCATCATTCCTATGTTATGAGACACATCTACCTTGAACCTGCGGCTGGTTTCCTTTCCTTCACAAGTGTAGGTGATCCAGCCAGTTGCTGTGTCAACAAAGCAACCAACAAACATTCCTTGAGATGCCCCTTTGCCTGATGCATCATGAGTTACTTCGTTGTACAGTTCGTCAGCTCGGACCATGTAGCAACTCTGACGATCAATTCTAGTGATACAAGAAAAATATATATAAATAATTTTATTTAAAATTTCACATGAACTGAAGACATTAATAAAAGTTGTAAGGTTATTGTATTGTGTCTCTGACATGATTTATTTGTACAGACTGTCAAATATGTATCTATTTATCAACAATTCTGGCTCTCAGTAAGAGTTTCAAGCTGGAACCTTGCTTGAAAATTACAGTCTTGATAAAGCTGAGGGCCTGCTACCATTTACTTCTTTACATTTAATCTTCACACCTCCTACTTAAAATAGAACATAACATTAAAACATACAAACTAACTAACTCAATGGCGTAGAGTGCTTTTTGGGAAGCCAATACTTGCTCACATAATCAAGAAATTCTCAGCATTTATGAAACCCCAAGTGTCATTGCCATGTTCAGAAGAGCCTGACACTAGTATATATCCTGAGCCAGAGACGCCAGTCACTGCCCTCCCAGCTTGTTTCTTTAAGATCCACTATAACATTGTCCTCCCAAACGATAATTTTATCTATGGGTATGAAACACCGTCACTCACCCTACAGAAAAACATGAACTGAGGTGTTTGAGAACAGAGTGGTGATGACAATGTGTGAACCTAGAGAACAAAAGTAAGAAGAGGAAGGAGAAAATTGCATAATGAGACATTTCATAATGTGTCTCCTTCATGAATTGCTATCAGGGTGACAAACCACAGGGCTGAGCTAAATTGGATATGCAGCATGTAAGAGAAAGATGAGAAACACATACAAATTTAAGTTGGAAAATCTAAAAGGAAGATTCCACTTGGGAGGCCTAGGTGAAATGGGAAATTAATATTAAGAATATATTAGGTTCCAGGTTCTCACAGTAATGACTATGAAGAGTGTCATCTTCTGGGGTGTGACACCATGTAGTCTGGTAGAATTTTACCGACATTTCAGGGGAACATACTGTCTCCATCTCCAGGGTTGAAGAGTATGCCAAGCAACAGGGAAGCACCAATCAGAGAACTGCTTGATACTTGCATGGCTTTTTCTTTAGTATTAAAATAGATTTTAAAGAGATAATGTGTGAAAGTGTTGACTGGATTCAGCTGGCTCAGGTTGGATTTAATGTTGGGCTTCTACAAACACAGTAATGGACCTCTTGGTACCACAAAAAGTGGGAAATTTTTTGACCAGGTAGCTGATATATGAACTTCATTTTAATTGTAAAACACAAATACTTATTCATAAACTTTTGTAATCCCTCTGATCACAGTATGTGGAAAGTATGTTAGAAAGTTTGATTACCTTTCAAGTATCCTTTCATGGTCATCTACAATCATAACAGAAGCTCTGCGAACACTGCTCTGATTGAATTCATTGCTGAAGAAGTGATACTGTGTTGTCACCCAGCCCACATAGACATGTGTTGGGTCTTGTCCAGGGAAGATCCTCACACCATAGAAGTACTCATTTATAAGTCTGAGACATTCAGCATCGAAGATCTCATTGCCAATAGATTCTAATCCTGTGGCAACTGGGACAGACATAACCTTTGGACTTCTATCTGGGATGGAAGGCGGAATAATTTTTAAATCCGTCTGAAACCAATTGCTTTATTTGTAAACTTTTTCCTTAACTACAGCAATAAAATTAGTTGAACATAAAGTAACAAGTAACTGGATAAACTGGAGTAAATACTAAGAGGTTACAGAAAACTGGTACTCTGTTTAGTTCCTCAGGTGCAGATTTCCAACACAATTAAAGCAAGCACATGATGAATTTCCATTCAGGGTAACAAAAATCGCAAGGTCCATTATATTGAAAGTAAAACTGAAAAAATACTAATCTATAATCAGTGCTATATGTGGAGTTTGATGGTGTGAGATTCCATTGATCATCCTCTTACAGAAATATAAATCTTACTGCTCCTTCACTTTCTAACATTTCTTTTGGAACTAACACGAGGCCTATTCGGAAGGTAACTTCCAGTGAGCTGTCAACAAAACAAGAAATGAGAAAAAAAGAATGTTATTATATACAAAAAATACATACATACTTAAGCTACTTCTCAATGCAGTAACCACTGGAATTGAGGCACTTGTGATATCGGGGAATAAGTTATTGTAGGCCTGTGTCAAAGAAGTCTGCCTCCTGTGCACTCAGCCACGTTTTGACACCTTCCATCAATTCCTCATTATTGTTGAGCGGTGTGATCACTACCAGTTCTTCAGGTAGGTAAATAAGCGGTAGTCACTCGAAGTGCCATCAGCGTTGTAAGGAGGGTGGTCAAACAACTCCAAGTTGAAATGTTCCAGCAGTGCTTGAGTGTAAGCAGCTGTACTCACGTGGACATACACTGTCATGGAAGAGCACCGCATTGGATGTCGCATTCCATGCCTATTATTCTGCATGGCCCTACACAGTTTTTCTAGTGTTTAACAACACACTTCTGATGTTATTGTGGTCCCCTGTTGCATGAATTCAATCAGCATTCCTTTCCTGTTCCAGCAGTTTTCTGGAAGACAACTTTAGTTTAAACTTTTCAGCTTGTTTTGTGAGAGTGTGCATCCACCACTTTGACCGCTCCTTGGTTGCAATATTCACAAATGAAATCCAGGTTTCATCACCTGTTACTCGTATGATATGATTGAGAAATTCATCGCTATCTTTGTGATACTGCACTAGAAAAGTCAAAGCCAAAGGCATTCTCTGCATTTTGTGTCCACCTGTGAACATCGGAACCCACCTTGCACAAAATTTGTGGTAGCCTAGCCTGTGATAATCTCATACAGAAAAGTGCATGAAATTTGTTGAAATTCAAATGACAGTTCTGAAATTGTGAAGTATCATCTCTCACAAATTTTTTGGTCAACACATTGAAAAAGATCATCACTCTGTACAGATGGCTGGCTGACCACTACGCTCTTCACTGTGATCATCTGATCGCCCATCTTTGAACATTCTACACCATTGGCTTACAGTTCCTTCAGCCATTACATCTTGGCCGTAAACCATCGTGGATAGTTCATGATGGATTCATCAGCGTTCATCTTCTTGGTGTGAAGAAAGAGGATAACAGCGTGAATTTTGCAGCTGGTGGGATTATCAACTGCAGGACACATCATAACTGACTGTGCAGAGACAAGAACAAAAAACACTAGGTGACCAGTTATGTGATGGTTTACAAGGCAATGATTCATGTGATGCTACCTTGCATGCATGAGCTCTCCCTTGCTCCTACATTAGTTACCTAAAATAAATGGATGTTACTTTCTGAATAGCTGAATAGCCCTTGTATATTCACCTAAGCAGGAACAATGTCCAAACCGCTCATTCTTTGTTCCTTTAATTGCCAATACTGCCCTAACATTTACTGTTTAAGAAATTACCATCAATGATGTTTTATCAAAACAACTAGAAAATTAAATAACAGATATTATGTCAGAAATTCATACTATGGAGTGCTGAGTTGGATGATAGTGAATAATAAACTGGAAAGGATGTGGAAAGAAACAGTCATGGTTTATTTCAAGGCAATGATATGGCATTTGAATAGGGGGATAGATAAAATCCACAGACAACCTTATTCATGATAACTGCTGTTCTGGCTGAGATAGGAACTGGCTATCTCCTGAATACAAGTTAGAACTCTTGACAGTTGAATCAATGTGACATTTTATTAAATGTAAGAGGAACAAACACTTTATGTGCTTACTGACACAACCTTCTTCCATATATGCTAACCTGTGAGACTCTCACGTGTGGTGTTCGCGCATGTAGTGTGCTAGTCCGGCCCATACCAATGGGTTTTCTATCAGGACTTATGTCTCCATCCATAGCTCGTTCTGGAGTTTTTCCTTTCTTCAGACGATCACCACTGGCATCACGCTTACGAGAGAAGAATCTAGAAGAAATTTTATATGGGAAAACTATTTGTAGCACCAATTATACACACTGCTAAGTCATATGTACATCATGAAGTGAAGTTTGTGCAAGTAATGAAAATTAATCATAGCAGGGAGCACATACTAACCTGAAAGGAGAACGTCCTCGTTTCTTCTTATCATCTTTCACCGATTCCTGATTATTGATCATTCGATCTGCACCATTATACAGGTTTAAGTCTACATCACTTGTGGATCGTTGCATTTTACCTACAGTGGAAATTGCTGATAAGATAAGTACTGAATAGATGTTAATTTGAGCGCTAAACTGAGAAACACCTTAAACAGTAGAAATCTAATACTTAATACACATAGCTTACATAACTATCTCCCTACTTATATGGATCTTGTTTTCTGGGAGATGGCACCATCTGGATTCAGATCATATGGCTGACATTTCACAGACCCTACCCTTAATGTCTCCGTCTTAAAGGTGAAGTGACTATAAAATGGCCTCTGCCAGTACTTATATTACAGGTCCACAATTCAGTGGCAAGTGCTCTACTTGTCTGATTGGTCCAATGGAACCACTGGGTAGTCACTTTGCCTTGACACAGTAAAGATATCTGAAACACTGGAATACACAGTGCCATCACCAAGAAATGGGATCCACAATAGCACTCAACTGCTATAAAAGACAGATATCTGCTTCTTACTTTTAAAACAGTCAAAACAGTAACATGGTAAGAACACCCAGATTATAAAGACATGAAAATTCATTTGGATAGTAACAATCACAAACACAGCAAGATATGCATTTATTATTTGTATGTGTGAAAATTCATCAAAATCCATTCTTGGAACAAATATTATTAGTATTCAAATGACATTTAAAGATGTGAGCAAAAGCAATTTCTTGGTACAGGCATAATCTTTTACTTTTTTAGTTGATGACTCCACATATAGCATGCTTAGTAGAACTTTATTCTGAAGACTGCTACTATATAACAATCATGTTTCACTGTGGTAATGTCACACTATGGTAATTCTTGCTATTCAGTAATGTGCCTTGATTCAATATGATGCATAAAGCCTATTAAAAGTTGTCATGCAAAAAACACACATAAAATTTACTCATAATTGACTAATCAGATTTGTTAATTACAGTTACTTATACTTAACAGTCTTGTGTTACAAGACTCTAAGAGTTCTCTTAACATTGTAAATAAATATGAGTTTAGATTTTTCAGTTTCTTTGCCATCTGACTAGATCACAGTGGAATATGTCTGAAGTTGAAATTTCAATAAAAGGTTAGCAAATCATCCATATTGGTGTTTTGAGAGTACCATGCAGAAACAGTGTGCAGTGTATAGCGGCTGTGCATTCATTCATTTTATTTACACTTTAATGTTCAGAATTCATTCTAATACTTGGCTTCAGAAAGGCTGAAGTTTACTCGTTTGAACTACAAGATTTAGTTAATTTTGAACAATGCAGATATTAAAAATAGAAAAAAAAAAAATCAAAACTGCATTGGTTTAAGCAAAACATTTTATTCTTTTTTTTTATGAACAGACCTCTATAAATATAAAATTATATACTTTTAAATCTGATGACTATTTCCGTTATGACTGAAGGCACAGGTGAAAAAAAAAGTTACATGGTTCCAAATACTAACTCTATAATGAATTATCACATTTAAAAATACCGAAACTAAACCAATATAACTCTTAAGTTAAAATACTTTCCAATCAACAGAAATACATAACACAAAATTCACTGAAATATACTTGTAAATGTATATGTATTGCAGCTGGAATTTCTGACAACCAGAAGACTGTTTTCTTGAACTCTCAAATATTTTCAGAAGCACTTTATGTACCTGGTTCTAATGTTCCGTTCAGTTGCATATTTTCCATTTTGTCATATGTGGTGTTTCGAGAAAGTGAGCCTCTCCTGGGCGGTCTGGATGGTTTGTGCTTCAGCTTGCTTGGAGGAGAATCTGGCGATGGTCCATTCATTATGAGTTCATCTGCTTCAACAGCATCTTCTGAATACCCTCGCTGAAGACCTAACACAAACAAATTTGAGGTATGTCAAGACTTCCCAACTACAGAATAAAGTCATGAAAATAAATGGAGTTGTATGTATCTAAAAATATTTTTATTACCATCCCATGCCATTCAAAATGAAGTCAGTTCATTTGCTTTGCTCTGAACTGGATCGTCACTCATATTTATAGCTGTCATGCAGAACTGCAAGGTCAAGAAGCTTCAACACGTAAGCCATTATTTATACTACATAATAAATAAAAGAACTGCTGACCCTACACAGAAACAAGCACAATACAAATGATGCTGATTATAAAAGAAAATATTCATTTTATATTTCATGTTATTTTCTGAGAGTTTCATATGTTTAATCACTGAAACTTTAAGAAAACTGACTGCTAGTGCTGTTCTAGTGAAATCCAAACAGTAGGATGAAAACACTTTTAAAGTTGATTTTTAGTGTAACCCACTGGCCACTCCAATAACTTCACTTGTTTTCTTTAAAGGCTAAGAAGTAGTGAGGAAAAATGAATGTTTAACTGCAGCCAGAATTACTTCCCCTGTATATCCGGTACATTGCTCCTCTTATAACCCTGTGATTCAAGTAAGGATCAGCAGGAATCAACAAATGATGTCTAGTTTCAGCAGTCGGACAAAAATTACTTGTCAGACATTTCTTCATAAGAAAAAAGGCCCTTACCCATAATGTTGCAATCACTCCACACATCAAGCTACTTACCATCAAATAACAATTACATACAAAACAGGCCTACTGTCCCTTATATTATATACACAAGGATTGAGTTATTGTTCAGATTTAGTGTTGACATCTGGGGATAAATAAAAAAGAGGATATAAGAAAGTATTACAGACGTACAAAGGGATGCATAGTTAATGTGTCCAGATGGATGGATAGAAGCATTCTAAAGATTGTAGTAAGCAAGATGTGGAATAAATCAAGATGCATTATACTGCATTTAGAAAATACCTAATAATATACATACAGAAGGCACCGCAAGAACAAGATAGTATACTAAATACCACATAATACCACAGAGACTTAACATACTTCAACTACACTATTAATAATCCCTCAGCTATTACAGAATACTGCACTGCTGCCTTCCTCGACGTAAGCCAGGCATTTGACAAAGTTTGGCATCCAGGCCTGCTTTATAAAATCAGAAGAATTCTACCAGCCAAATATTTCGCAATACTGCAGTCATACCTAACAGACAGAGAATTTGAAATAAAAATCAACGCTGAAGTATCCAACCAAAGAAACATACAATCAGGAGTTCCTCAGGACAGTATCTTGGGTCCACTCCTCTACGTGCTATACACCTCAGATATACCGACCACCGAATTAACAAAAATAGGTACGTTCGCAGACGACACAGCAATTTTCGCTACGTCAGAAGACCCGGTAATTGCTTCATCTAATTTACAAGAACATCTGAATCTAATGGAGAAATGGCTACACCGATGGAAAATCAAAGTGAATGAAAGCAAATCGGCGCATGTGACTTTTACTCTCAGGAAAGGTAACTGCCCCTCAGTACACCTAAATCATGTTAACATTCAACAGCAGGATGTAGTAAAATACTTAGGACTACACCTGGACTCAACATTAAACTGGAAACACCATATAGCGAAGAAGAGAAAACAAATCGAAATTAAGTTCAAGGAAATAAATTGGCTAATAGGTCGGAAATCTCACCTAACAATAGATAATAAACTGCTGATCTACAAAACAATAATTAAACCCATATGGACATACGGCATTGAGCTCTGGGGATGCGCCAGCAGGTCCAACATAGAAATCATCCAGCGAAGTCAATCCAAAATACTTAGAGCCATAGTTGACGCACCTTGGTACGTGTCAAACCAAACTCTTCACACCGACCTCAAGATCCCATATGTAAGAACCGTAATCACAGACAGAATCCAAAAACATTATCAGAAACTGGAATCTCACCCCAACAACGCAATAGAAGCTCTCCTTCAACCTACACAATACAGAAGACTAAGACGAACTTGGCCAAACGATCTCCAGGAAAACTGAGGTGTAATCGATGGATTACAGCTCTTCAAGCCAACTTAGTACAATAGAATAATTATTGTACATGACAGCAAATTAGCTCATAGAATGTAAATTCAGATTGCTAATAAATGATAATTAAAAAAAAATAAAAAAGCTATTACATAATATTTTAGAAAACATAAGAAATAACTTTACAACTATAATAATGATCTGAGAAGATAACAGACATAATCAAGTGTGAGGCTCGTTTTTTTATATTAAAGCATACACAAGAATGTAAGTGAAAGGAAACCTAACATTTTCACTAGGTTTCATTAATCCCCTCCCTTGGGTCTTCTGCTGATCACTTCCATGTTCTGGTTTCTTCTAAATTGACATTTATATATCTATTAGCAACAGTCTAATGTTAAGCTTCCACTTTTCTGTACTGTATGTAGTGATATATACTGTGGGAACATCCCACATTATCACGCATTTCTGCAACGCTCGCTCTTCACATCACTTTTCACCATCACGCGCGCTAGCCAATCAATTCTTCCTCCTCAATTTCGAGTTTCGCTCCGCCCCACCGAGCAGTGTATAAAAAGGGGCAGCTCCAACGCCGACTATACAGTTCATCATCAGCCTACGAGCTAGCCAAAGCAAGCAACATCAGCCAGCAGGCTTTGTCGCCAGCGCTCGGTCTATGGAGGCATCGGCGCTTCGCTGCGCCAGGCATGACTGCCACTGCTGTCTGCCGGTCGCACCCGACTCACTGGGCAACTAGGCCGCACAGACTCGCCGGTAGTCATACCTGACACACTGGGCAACTGGCATAGCTACCGCCTCTCCGCTCCAGCGACCGCACTCAACAACTAGCCTTTCACCAGCCATTCACTGTAACTAGCCTTTCTCCTTACCGGCGCGTGCCGCGCTACCTCACCGACCAAGTATCTCAGCAACCACGGTCCTTTTCAGGGCCAACAAACTGTTCCGAAGAAGTGGGTTGTCATCGGAGTAATGACAAGACTACACATTGAGAGCCCCACATTAAGTGTTGCAGATATCCCTTATGGACCCTGACCATATCATGGCACATATTGGAAGTTACACAGAAACAGTGCTACAAGCTTACATTAAGTGGAGGTTACAAACCCAGTAAAATATCTTATCTCTTCTGAAAGTAATATGAAGCTCAATTTCTTTTACATATGAAATATTTAACCATGTTTGCTTACTTCTGAACAGTGGAGATAGATACACACCTTTAATGTCATTCATTGTGAAACCAGACTTCATGATCTGTTCTATATGTGCTGGGTGCGTCTGATCAGCCTCAGCAAGAAGTCGATGCTGGCGAATCTTAATCTCTTGCCATCGTCTGATTTTTTCTTCCTCACTGTACACACAAATTAAAAACACAACCATTACACCATGTGTCTAGTGTAGCCAATCCTGAGTTGAAAACATTCTACAGAACAGCATTAATCAAAAAGGGGTGTTTTAACTACTATCTGTGTAGCACATGAAAGTTATTACAGATCTCAAAGCAAACATATGTACAGAAGATATTTTAAATGAAAATTGGGAACAAGAGTTTATGTGATATTAGTGGTGATAATTAAGTTAAGAGTAAACAATTAAGTCTCTTCAGAATGTAATTCTCAATATTACAACATTTCCACACTGCAAAAGTTAGTGTGAGACTCTAAGGAAGCAAACAAGCAAAATAAAAATTTGATATGGAAAGGTTTTGTCTGAGGAAGCTGAACAGTAGCAAATTAAATCCTCACAGTGCTTGAGTGCTGGAAGAAAAGAGTTATTGCAAGTTAACGCCAAATAAACCACAATTTCTGGTCTATGATGATGACAATAACATTGACAACTACAACGATAATGATATTAGTTCACTGGGTGAAAATATAATTATGGGAAACATGCACATACAAAAAAAAATCAGGTTATAGTAGCATTTGTTTAGAAATGCAAAGATAACTACTAAAACCTTTTAAAAAGTGGGAAGGTTCTAATATGTGGGGACAATAAAAATGTATATTTACAAGGAATTTATGGACAAACTAAATCCACCAAACCCTTCTCACTATTCTGTTCAGAATATTTTGTCTTTCCATCTCTTACCAATAAACTTCAAGACTAAAATATACCTGAATACTATATTACTTGTTGTTTTATATGTATGTGAAACTTTGTCACCATACAGGAAGTACTGAGATTGAGAGCATTTGAAAAGAAGTGCTAAGAAGAATATCTAGACTCAAGGGAATGAAAGATAAACTCACATATTATGGAATTTCATAATTTGTATACTTCACAAAATAACTTTACGGTAATAAAATTAAGGAGAATGTGATGGACAGGACCTATAATATGTACAGGTGAGAAGAAAAATCCATGCCACACTGTAGTCTAAAAACCTGAAGGGTACAGACAAGATGCGAGATCTAGGCATTGATCAGGTAATAACATTGAAGTGGTTCTTGAAGGAATATGGTAAGGCCGCGCCATAGCTCAAGTGGTTAGTCACTGGCTTCCCACCGCAGTGGGCTGGGTTTGATCCCGGGTCTGGTCAAGTGGAATTTGTGGTGGACAAAGTGGCGCTGGGGCAGTTTTTCTCTGAGTACTTCGGTTTCCTCTGCCAATCTTCATTCCACCAAATTCTCCATCATCATAATCACCTGGGTAAGGCTACAATAGGCTAATCACTGGCCGCTGTGTTGAGTGGACCCAGTTGGACTCCACCCCCCACTAAGTGAAATTAATTAAAAGAATATAGTATAAGCATGTGGACTGAATTAAACTGGCTCAGGACAGGATTGAGTGATATGCTCATGAATACAGTAATGAACTCCCAGGTTCCATAAAACAAAGTAAATTTCTTGACCACCTGCATGACTATCAGCTTCCCAAGAAAGATATGACTGTGAAGTTTTTCAATTTATAATTCCAAATACTTAAATGTCACCTCCAAATATGGTTTAAAATAATGAAACATAAAAATCACCAAAAAATGGATGCAACACATCTCACAATTAAAGCATAATACTGCATCTGTCATTTAAGATAAACTTACTCTATGAATATTGACTGACATATGACAGGTAATGACAGTCTGAGAAACTCCCAGTTAGCCTTTTCCATGGTCTCAAAAGTATTATGACTAATCTTCATACAAGGTGGTGTATCTGATCCTGCTGGTATTCTTGTCACATCAATCCTTGTGTCAACAAAGTCTTCAGTGTTCTCAAATATTGGCTGATCCTTCGTGTACCAGTATGTTACAGGTCTCTTCATATTGCTGTAGGAAACATCCGTCATTTACAATCACAAATATCTACTGCCTTATTAAAAGTAATATAAAGTTTAAACATTTCAGTAATCTGAGTCACTAGGTATATAATCTTACTCAGACTAAATATTAGCTTGTATCTGAATGAAATACATTGTAGCCTGTTCTAACATCCATCTGATCAAAAAAGTCTTATGAATGAAAAAGTATGATTTAAAATAGAACTAATCTGATAATTAAACACACACTCATTCTACTCTGTTGATGAACACTTATTGCCCAAAAAACGAATCATCCATTTAAAGGTTGTGTAAATAGCATAAGTTGACAGTATTGGTGTATATATGTGAATGTATTTTTGAATAGCCTCATGTGTAACCACTGTGTTTCCTTGGGTTTTCTTGTGTGAAAGCTTCAGTTGCATTGTACATATGTTTCTGTATTTATACAACATATTCCACATCCTAGAGTCATTTCGACTAACTTCAGATCCAGGGAATGCAATGTAATGTCATGTCCTCTGTATGTTGTATCTGTAGTTTCAGTTCCTTCCAGCTGAAACTCATGATAAGGTCACACTGCAAATCAACTCACTCATATGTAGATGTGCATTTTGATAGTTTAGACCACAAATCCATTATTAAATTCCTCACAAAATAGGGGAAATGGATCAAAGATTGTTCATGAATGTACATTGGCTGTGTATAGTGATGCTTAAAATGCAAAATGAAATATTGGTCTAAGCAGTCAAATTGGGGTACAGAATCCACCGAAGATGACCTCATGCAGGAAGACAAGTAGAAATGACTACTCCAGAAATACGTACAAAATTTAAAACCTGGCCATGCAGGACAAGAGTCTGAACATGTCCCTGAATGCTCAAGAAAGCAATGTGTTGGGATCTTGTGGTCTGTCCATACTGAACATTCACCTGGGCATGATGGGCAGTTTTCATTCAGTTCAGAGAATGTTGAAACCACTTCACAAGCAGCACAAGGTTCAGTTTTCTGAAGAAAATTCTGGACTTTTTGAAGCAAACCTTGAAACATTTCTCTCAAGGGTTGCTACAGGTGATGAAACATTAATCCATCACTGGGATACTGAAATAAAATCAAGTCCGTGCAATGGATACATCATGGTTCACTCATTCATACATAGTTCTAAACATCGTTGCTGGCTAGAGATGTCACAAAAAAAATTAGAACAGAATTCTTTCTATGAATTACATGCCACAAAAGACAACAATCACAGAGGAAGCCTGAGATGCTTTACTTCGAAATTTAAGGAAGGACATCAAGAAGGCTGATGATAAAAGAAAGACAAGGTATGTCCTGCTTCTTCATGGCAATATTACTGTACATAATTCATAAAGAGCAATTGCTATCATAAGGGAATGTTACTTTCAGTAATCAAATCAACCATTGTACAGGCCACTTCTGGCCTCCAGTGATGATCATCTGTTCTGTAACCTGAAGAGACACATGCATGGACATAGGTTTTCAAGTGACAATGAACTTAAAAGTGCTGCTACAGAGTGGTCTGAGGAGCAAGACAATGAATTATACATTTTGGGGATATCTTCTCTATCTACAAAATAGAGAAAGTGCACCAAACTCAATGAAGAAACAGCAAAAGCATATTTGTTCTATCTCAACTGCTTCATGGTTGGGAAGATTTAATGTTCTTCATAAAAAGAATTATTCACACACAGAAAATAAAATTTATAAAGGTATATATTGTGGCATATTGACTCTATGCAGGAACTGTTGAGCCACAGAAGCCTCAGGGCACACGCGCAACGTGAGACTTGCAAATTGTATTGGCGCGTTGCAAGGTGACAACTCTGTGAATGCTTGGATTGCGCAACAGGGAGTGCGTGTGACATCACATACCCCACTCATCCCACAACTATGCAATGCTCGGTAAACACCCCTCCCTGCTAGGCTGTGACGTCACGCAACAGGCGAGTCCGGGCAAAGACTATTGCTAGGCAATCAGTATACACAATGTTACGCAACAGTGGTAGCTATCGCATAACTGTTTTCTGTGTTGTCAGTGCGGAAGCTACATAATGAGGAGTTTTCGTCAGAGAGAGCCAGTTACTAGTATTGTGTATGAGGATTCAGTATGAGTTGTGGAGTGAATGGAATCAAAGCAGTTGAAGCCTGAAAGTGACTACAGCAGGAGAAGCAATTGGGACAATGAAGTTGTGAATTATGTAAGTGTAAGAGCGAGTGTGCAATAAATTTGCTAGATCCAAACTGGTATGAAGCTATCTCTCGCGTGACAAACACCCTACACGTGACAATATAGACACACTAACATGTCTAAGGGTATTCATCTACTTCTTCTGCCTCACTTTATTATCAGCAATGAATACTGAATGACTGACTGCTCTCAGTGATATCACAGATAAATCTACCAAATGGTCTTTTTTACTCAGAGTTTGTTAATGCAAGTATGATGCCTGATTCACAGAAATCAATGTCTAATACATTAATTAAAATAACATTTGAGTATAGCAGTAATGTGTTGATCTTCTTACATGCCATATGAACTACATTTACAATTTAATGTGTATCTCCCTACAGCAAGCAATTCAAAATTAGAAGACTGGTGAAATCAACTGATATTTCATGGGACCATAACACTTCCATCTTCATGGTCAAAAGGAAGACAAGCAAGAAGCCAGCATGAAGCAGGCAGCAAGCTGAAAGTTATGTTCCACTTAAACACAGGCCAACTTTCACCAGACTACAAGGCATTATATTGGAGAAGCCAGAACTCGTCATAGACATAGGTGTAACAACCTCAAATCCAATTCAGAATATCACTGAAAGAATTCCTTTAGACACACACCTTTTTGTCTGTGGATGAATTTAGATTACTAAGAATTAATTTACTACCTAATTGTGTCTAACTGTAAATTTTGTGTATCTGTAGTTGTACATACTGACTGTAATCATGTATCTGATCATAGTACATATGTTTATTTGGACCTAGATATGTATAAACAAAGTACTAAATTGCATGCAACAATGAATAGTGTAACTGTGTGTGCAACATAATCTACCGTCGTAGGTCATGCATGGTTAATATTCTGTAATTGAAATGTGTTTCCCAACATGATATACTGTACTCTTACTTTTCATCTTACATCATGCTCTCTATGATCCACAGGATCTATCTGTATCTCTGTGTAGTCTACTATAGTCTAATTTAGTATAAACTAATCTTTTTATCTTAACTAACTCACTAACCAACTCTGTCTGTCTGCCCACCCATCCATTCATCCATCTAATCAATCAACTAATCTGTCTATCTAATCCAATCTAATCTAACATCTACCTATGTATCTACCTGTGTGCATGTAGGCCTTATTTCCACACATTTACAGATTTTTTCTGTCTTCAAGGAGAAGGAAATACCTAATGGCCCCTGCCAATACTTCTACACACAGGTCCACAGATTGATGGGAAGTGCTCCACTTTATTCGTCAAGCAACAGCCAGTGGAAAGTGAGACAGACCTAGGGACGATATTGGTAAGGCCTACTGGGTGGTCGCTCCAGCTTGAAAATATAGCAGTAAGCAGTACATTCTATATCTATACTGTGCCACTGCCAAGAAACAGGATCCACATCAGCACAGTAAATGCTGAAAATGCTAATCACAATCTCACTATGATACTTACACACAGAAAGGTTCATATCCTTCTTGAAGGCCACACATGGTGAAGAATTTCAGCGTGTTTACATCCTGCCCAAATGTAAGCTTGCCTTTTTGGCCAACTCCCAATGTAAAAGCAGGAACAAATGAATCACCCTGAACATCTGCAAATGATGTCTCACCGCCCAGGGCATCCATTAAAAGCTCACCATTTAGTGAGAAGCCTGAAGTTTCAAAAAGCAAAGGAATGTTATTTAAAAATAAATGTGTTTTGAAATATTACAAAAATACTGTATTGCCATTGAAGGAATGTAATAACAGACAGGAGTGAATCTATATAAAAGCACTGTTCCTAAAATTCATATAGCACATGGAATTAGTGTAAAGTGAAAGCAGGAAATGATCATTTGGTACATAAAATACTAAATTTTGTGCCAACACAAATATTCTGTCTACATGAGTCCTAGATTCTAAATGGTTGTAAAAACTGATTTATTATAGAAGAGTCTGTTAAGATAAAATTTATAAATGCTGCTCTGCTTATATGGTTTTCATACAACAATCTTTAGCTAGAATGGGGAAAAAACTGAGCATACAGAATTATACATACAAACATATGCTATTGAACATCAATACAGTGATATGATTGTAAAAGCCAATTTATATGGCATTACAGACAATTTTATTGAACATTCCGATGCATATGTAAAATATTGTGATCTGAGCAATGCAAATCATGGCAAATTATATTTACAAGGCTATGTTATTATACTGCCAGAATTATATAATTTACACCTAGAACCATGCTACTTACATATGTATATACCATTCTTCTTGCTGTTCTTATTACTGACAACACAGTGGAAAGTTTACTAATCCTTTCTGTTACAGTTTAATAATTCTGAGCAAGTGTTATATTACTTTAAATATACTAAAGTAATAAGTGCCATTGATATTAATGTCTGGCATTCTAAAATCTTTATTTACAACAAAAAATAGGTTAACTGAACAAACTAATATAAAAATCTGAAAGATTTATTTAGCATCAGACTATTAAAAGATTACCATATCTGTAACATATTTACAATGACTATATGCATTCACATACATATAATTAAGGGCTGCTAAACTCTGATTCATGTACAATTTATAGGAAGTGCTACAATTGCTACAGCCACAAAGTTAAACACCCATGCATATCACAGAATACACACTGGGATAGCACACAATGACATGGTTTCATGCTAAGCAAGGCACAGAGTTTACATTGTGAACGATAAAACGATTCAGTATGAAGGCAAAATAAAAAAAGGACACAAAATATTTCTATAATTCTCTTAATGGGGATATATATGCAGTCAGTTTCCATTTTTTCATACAGTACCTGTACCTTAATTATGTATTTTATTTTTGTCAGCGATTATATTTACTGATGGTTTACAAAATCACACATACTTGTGAACCAGGCCTCATCTCTCTCCCACCTATTCCCTTGGTGTTTTATGGTATTCTTCATATTCTCATATTCTGTAACCTGCTTTGAGTGATATGGTGAGCTGAAAGGGGAGGTAAGAAGCAAATCTTCTCTCCTCTGTGACATTACATGAATACTTTAATCACCAAATCATTAATAGCAACAATAGTGTGATTAGTTTGTAATGCAACTTGTGCATCAGTTGGACATAAAGTCAATCTTAGGTGTTCAAATATTTCCATTATTTCTTACTCCTCTCCTCTCCATTAATCTAGAAATCAAAGTCACATTGATTTCCTTCTGTCATCTATTATGTTCATATTTTCAGTAACAGTAAATATAGCATTCCTCACCAAGCATCCAATTAGGAAAAGAAAAGTATAGCTGAAAATGAACAGAATAAATGAAAATATCAAAGGACATATAGCAGATGTTTCTTTTTTATATTGATTGTATATTTAATCTAGCTGAACAAATGCTCAGTGACACAGCATTTCGATCACAGGCACAAAAATGGATTTATGCTGTTGTCGAGACTGAAATGTCTGAAAAGAATCATAAAGTATCTACAAAGAGCCAGTAACATGAAGCAGCTTCAAGTCCAAAATGGTGGTTTGAAGAGAAGCAAGGAGTCAAATGTTGCAATACTTATGTAGGTAAGAATGTTATTCCATTAACTATAAATGGATATATGAACCTGACAATGACTTACACACAAATTTTACATTTGTATATTATTTTGCAATTGTATGTGTATGATGTATCATATTAATGTATTACTGTATTACTGAATAGGGTGTAATGTCTTTGTATTACTGTATTACCAACTGACAAGGCTGCTTGTTGTACGGCCGCTATTGTATCTTATTTTATTGTATGTGGACATCTTCTGTATCTTAGGTGATGATCACTGTTATGGATTACTTGAAGAAAAATAAAATGAATGAATGAACGGGGATTAGAATAGTTTATGGGGCAGTTTTTCGCGCAAATTACATTATTTTTCAGTGTATTAATATAATTTTCATTTAAATGTCACACAGGAATATACAAAGAGTGCAATTAATATTGTCAGGAGAGTTGAGTACAGGTGGCATCCATGTCTCCTGGGCTGTACACACCTCTCATTCCATTGAAACATCAAGATTCTCTCCATTCTAGATCGTTCTAGAGAATGCCATCAGAGAATTGATGAGGAACTGAGGCTATAAAAAGTAGCCATGAAATTCTTCAGAAGACAGTTCTGAGTTGAATGTAGAGGGCAAGAAGCAGCAGCATAGCACAAACATGTGTAGATACAGACATGAAGCAAAGAGTGCTGTGAATCATGAATTAGTTCGTTGCAGACAGAGGAAGTGAAAGAAGAGGACAGTGCAGTGACTGAGCAGTAGTGTCAGAGTGAAGTAACAAATTGACAAAGAACTGAAATCAAGAACATAAGTGATTATGGATGGGGGGGCAAAAACTGTGCCACATAACAATAAAAGTTACAATAGTGTATGGTAATTTAAAAGAACAGAAGATATTTTATTGAGAAAAAAAAATGGAAGTTAAGAATAGTGAAAAAAATGTACATTAAATCACTCCTGCAACTACATTGTGTCCTGTAGAATTAATCAATCCCTCCCTGATCTAAGTTGAAGGAAAACAGGAGACTATAGTCCATACAAGGAATACTACTGATCTGTTATATATAACTAGCTCACAGTGAAATTATAATATGTTTGTTCAATTCCATGTCACCTTTCTTCCTCTGAGAGTTACGGATGATGATTCATATCTGAATAGAAACAGAATGTAAGTCGGGGAATGATACGGATAATTATTGCGTTTTGTCAGTGGAAAAATTTACTGTGGCTCTGTTTATTAATAAAAATAATTTACTCCTTTATTTAAATTGCAAATCAGTTCTATGAAGCATTTCTTATAACACTATCACTCTTCCTCCCTTATTTGAAGTAAATATTTGAATAGTTTATTCATAAAATATATAAAAAAATTATAGAAGTTAACTGAAACTTATGTTTTCATGAGAGATGTTGTAAGATGAAAGAAATTTATGAGTATATAATTTAGAAGGCATGCATGGCTCTTCAATATGTAACATTCTAAAGCAATGAACAATAAGCATATAACATTAAAAAAAAAGTAGCATCAAACTATAACATTCACTATGGTGTTGGTTATCCTGCATCCTATCCTATTTACTCATAAATATCCTACTTAAAGTGTGCCTGCTATAATCATGAAAGTATATAATTCATTTTGTTGTGAATAAATTACCTGACATGTTGTGTGGATGTATTCGGAATTTATGAAATGTAAGTTTCATTTAATAAATTAATTTTGACTTGATAAAGATTTCTGATATTACTATTGGACAGGAAAATCTGTGACTTTGTTAACTTTTCTTAAAGCCACAAGTCAGAGTGATTACATCAGTTTCATTACTTGGCTTAATATTTTTCAGTCTATACTTGAGCTGTCATAATTCAAGTTTCATCCAAGAGACTGAATAAAAAACAAGAACCACACTAAGTATAAACTCACAGCAGAACCTGAACTGACGAAAGAACTTCAGCCTGGAGTTGTACCAGGGTCATGGATTTTGTCCATGTTATACATTCACAGTGTTTTCTGTATGTGCACATATTGCATATTATGCCCATACACATTCTTCTGACAATGATAAGGATAATGATAATGTATTTAGCATCTGTAACTGTTACACAGGCACAACTGGACAAGTCAGTTGAAAACAGCCAAACACTACATGTCAGCAACTCTTAAAAAATGTACAAAACAATATACAAGACAATGTAGAATATAATCCCTTTTTGATCAATATCCCCTTGCTATAGCTTAAAACCATGGACAACTTCCAGAAATTCAGTATAAAGCAATAAATACACTTAAACCACCAAAAACATAAGTCAGCCATGTAAAACAAAGCATCATACATTTAGTGAAGATAACAGTCCGAAGACCATTTATTATACTTCTGTAGCCTATCAAAACTATCTCAAATTACCAAACTACTGTCTATCATTGTTACTAAAAAAACTGTTGGAGACAATAAAAAGTTTCATAGTAAATAACTGTTTACTTTATTGTTAAAACCTTCAAATCTCCTATTCTTTTTAATTCAGATGGTAAGTTGTTATGTATTTTTATTCCCATATTAATTATACCTTTTTTAAAATAAGGATTTTCGAAAAAGCTGGAAAATTTGAAATTGGTCTATAATTCGAAATTTCTTTTTTCCTCCTTTTTTGTGAATAGGTTGACAAGTAACACCTTACTTGTCATAAAACATTGGGAAGAAAATACTGCATATTCGAAGATACCTACATATGAACACACTTCATAGCGGAAGAGTGCTGGCTGTACGGCCACTTGCTTCAAGAAAATGAGACTTATTTCTAAGCTAAGAAAATATATATATAGTTAACAGCCTATAATCAGATCCCACCCAAACCAGTCAGTTTGGTTTTTGTGATCAATAATTAATATTCTACCACATTATAATTCATGCACGAAAACCAATAGAAGAGGTGGTGATACAGGCCATTGTACTTGAAGTTTTATATTACTGTGCTACAAATATATACTGCTATTTGTAAGTACTAAAAAGATAACAGTATTGTAGTAAACACAATCAACCAAAGAGACTTGTGTAGCAGTAACACTCTAAACTGTATTCAGGAGGTGCTAATTTCAAATATTGGCTGACTGAGCTTTCTGTGGTTTTTCCCAGTCCCTCCAGGCAAATTCTGAAATAATACCTGAATTAGACCATAACCACTTACTTTTTAATCCTTTCAATTCATTATCCATCAATCATCCTGCCATTCAAACTATAAACTCGTAATCTAGATAGGGTCAACGTTGTGAAACAAAAAACTTATATAAGTTTCAGACATTAAAGAAATGAAAAGGGTTTAAATGTCCTGTAATTTGGGGAGAGCCCAACAATTCAGAGAACATATCACCTCCATCTTCAGGGTCAGCCATGAAGATGAAGGCAATGTCTTCCTCCAAATCGTCATGCTTTCTCCAAACTAAATGACATTGTAACCGAGAAAATCACACTCCTCATGAGAACCCACCATGAGAACCTCAAATCCAAATCATAAAGCTAATGTTGGTAAAGAAAAGGAAATATTATCATTTCTTTGAATAGAAGCAATCTGATAGCTTCAGATTAAAGCTTTCAGACAAACACATGTTCAGTAATATAATGCCACAGTAATATAAAACTCATAAATTTAAGTTGAAATCAAGACCATTAAATCACTACTTCTTGAAATGGAACTGTGTTGTGTTTGATTCAAATTAACAACGAATTTTTTAAAACGCTACTGCTTAAAGCTGTTATGCTGCGGTATAATTTCTACAGTTAAATACCTTGGGAACAAACAGCAAAAATTAATGTAACTAGAACAGCTGATTAATTCAATTCTACGAAAAAACAAATCATATAGTTCCTGTATTTAAAACTATGTGCTGTTTTATTCCATTACTGGGTGCAAATTATAAGATTTCAAACATCACTGCCCTAATGAAATCAAATAATTTGTACTCAAATGAACTGAAACACTACTTGGCGAAGGCACACATGGCATATTATTTTATTTTCCTGACTTACTTATAGTACGATCAATTAGGTCGAGGAATACTCCGACCACATCTCCCACTTGCCATTGTTTGCCAAATGACTCAGCTGACCCACAATAAAGCTTTTCTTCCTTTGAATCAAAGAAAACATCAAATCATATCTACATAAAAATTTCCAATTACTGCTTTCTGCCTTTTATGTTCAGTGAAGGATGCCATTTTAACAAGCTGCTGTCATATTTACTCTTCTTACACAGTAACTAATAGGTAAAGATACACTAAATTAACCCAAATGAATAACACTCCATTACTCTTACACTGTTAGGATCTGATGATCAATATCTAGTGTTATGATTGTTTAAATAAAGTTATGTTAACTTTCAGGCTAAATGTCACAGCTTATGTAAAATCTGGCCAATTTTTTACATTCATTTTTAGGAAAGACATAACTGCCTCATAGTGTGATACCATAGTACAGATGGAAAACTGTCTATTTGAAATTACTTTCTTCCTTCAATTAAGCCTGGGTGGTTTTATTTCTATTAATATATGCTTAATTAAAACCAGCATTAAATTAATTTTTCATCATTAATTACAAATAGTTGTATGAAAAGAGACTGAGTTCCTTGAAAGTTTTTAATGTTTTCTCTCTGTACGGAAATAAAAATACTGAAGTAAAAGATATTTCTTATGCAAAAGTATGCTGCCTGGGATCTCTGAGTGCAAGTTGCACTGAATAGGTTATATGACAGTGTAACAAAGTATTTATTGCAAGAGATCACCAAAGTTCTTCCTTCTATGTTTCTATACAGTATATAAAGAAGTGACAGATCTGAAGCTGGTTCTCCAGAATCATGCAATACACTGCTTTCATGCAAGTCATAATCTAACATTGTGTATTCTGCATATTCAGTTTCTTAGTGCCTGTTATATTCTTGTCAGTTTTCCTGCAGGGTTCATGAACTGTAGCAGTGTTTGACACAAATGTCACTTAACGTCCATGTATTTATTGTCCGTCAATACTGCAACACTTGTTTATTCACCACTTAATCTTAATTCTAGATTAATATGGCAACGCTTGTTTATTCACCATTTAATCTTAATTCTAGTTTAACATTTTACACTTTGACACATGTTTCGGCCCTAAACGGCCATCTTCATGGCAAGCTGCCGAAACAAAACACCTGGGACAGGCATACATTTATGAACAATGGACGACACCCCTTGTGAGGTGAAATAGAATTCACCAAAATAACGTGGGTTAAATAGAAATTTCAATGGATTCTGTCTTATTTTACCTTGAAAAGAGAACTATAGCATGTGATTTTAACATGGACTAACACAGTGTAGCTGTTCTAACATAATTTAATAAAATATTTGTAACACATCAAGACACCTGAAGATGGCCGTTTGGGGCCTAAACATGTTGTGTCCAAGTGTAAAATGTTAAACTAGAATTAAGATTAAGTGGTGAATAAACAAGTGTTGCAATACTGATGGACAATAAATACATGGATGTTAAGTTAAACAATTTCAACAGGATGCTGAAATACAGAATTATGTCACATATTCTTACAAAGGGAATAGATGTAAAAAAAGAAAAATTGCCCTTGGTTTAGAATCATGCAACAGACATATAGAGGGGAGTGAGGGTGAAGTTTCAGATACTCTTTGCATCAGCACTAGATGAAGATCAGTGATACTTTCATGTTCTGACTGCATTATCCCCATGACAGCCATTGGACGGGAGGCCGGTGTGCCCCAGAATAATCTGAACATGATGATGAACAGAAAAGCCACAACAAAATTTTGTGAACATTCAAGTGAAACGACAGAAGAACATTATATGTAATGCAATGTGAATTAAAAAGTGTATCTTGCAGCACCATGTCTGTGTGCCATGATGAACCCAACAGTGATTCACTGTCCAAAATACAATATGAATAGAAAAGAGTCAAATAAATTTATGTATAGAGAATGTCTCTTCAGTTTTAGGGATGCATCTGTTGCTATGTGCATAATATAGTGACTGGTTATTCCACTGAATACAGATGGTTACTGCATTATAATGCAGCTGCATACCATCCTCAGATATGAAAAAATATACAGAGTTGAGACCATGATTCAATTCACAAGATTTCATGGATTTGTAATTTGTTAATGACCTTAACAACAATGTAACATGTACACTCCAGTAAACAAAATATAAGATTACTGTCCTCTCAGGTGGTTCCAACATTATGGAGAATATGCTGTCCCATCTTATATCCTGAAAACTGGCAGTTTTCTTTGAAGTACCTGTATCCATCCACCAAATTTCTTATCCTAAGGTCCCAAATATACTAAAATTTATGATCACTGTCTTGGGTACCTCAAATTTCAGAGAAAGGTTTATCATACCTTTAAAATAACTGGCAGATAAGAGTATAAGTATATACTATATAGGCATAAAAAGTGTTCTGAAGGACAATAAATGAACTTTATAAAAGCTAACTGTTTTCTACGTAACTGAATTATTTCTAATTAGTCCTATACTTCAATAATGATGATAAACTAATATACTTGTGAATTCTTCCCTTGATATAATTATTTTAATAAAGTTTATGGAAAAATATTTTCAAAATAACTTTATAACATTGTTTAACTTTGTCCTTGTATTATTGAAAAAAACTTTTTTTGTGTGTGTTCTGCTTTACTATGTACGCTAAACTTGCTACTGTTATATCTTTCACATACCTTCTCAGTAAGAAAGTATTACCATAACAAGTAAACCTCTATTTCTGCTTACAGGGAATATTTATCTTTAATAATCTGATTTACGAGTATTTTAAAATCAGTTTTTTATATGAAGGTAGAGAAGTTATCTAAATTTTAAATAATTATTTCTTACTTAAAAATATTCAGTTACTGAATTATAAACTGTAATGACATAACAGTGAAATATCTCTTTAAAGCAGGCATATTAAATGAACTTAACTTTACTTAAACAAAGGAGAAAAAAGGGAAAAAGATCTTAAAACATATGCACACACAAACTGACAAGCAAATTTCAAAGTAAATGGAGAGAAAAACAGTGCGACCAAGGGACAAAAACCACTGAGGTGACAAAAGTGATAAATTAAAGCACGTATGCAGGCAATCCTTCAAGTGCATAGCTAATCACATATAATGGGGAAACTCCAAACAAGGGCGGGTGGTGAGTTGCACGAACTTTCTTTACAGGGACTTCATTATAATGTTAACCTGCTTAAATTGTTCGTAATAAAGAAGACTGTTATATGGTGTTAGACACATCACTCAAACAAGAGCTGTATAAACATATACTAAGCCATGCACTTTTGTGTCCATGGATTATTATCAGTACCTGAACTGTGTGCCATTTTTTTTTTATGAATAAGAGCTCCATACCCAGACAGTAAATGAAGTGAAGTTTTGTTTAAATGTAAGAACCAGGCTCATTTGTGGGAGACAACACTTGTGCAGTCTTATAGTTTTTGATGAAAGATTATCAGTCACTTAACCAGGCATTCAGGAAATTTTCCTTAATAAATCAATTTTTAAAGACAAAGGTCAAAATAAAAAAATAAATAACTTTAAAGTGAAATAATAATACACAAGCTGATAAGCCCATTTATTCACCTTTAAAATGGCAGTAATAACACCAAAATAAGAACTGGTATATAAACTATAAACCCCCAGGTAAAACATTTAAAATTCAAGCACTGATTAGCTTAATTAAGTTAACCATAATTGTTGAAAATAGAAGAATACACATGTAAGCACATGTATTTCTATCCATTTACATCGACTTTATCATGTCCTGGAATTCAGCATGGAAATTACCTCTATTTTAAATTAATGTTACTTGCTAATAATGTTAAATGACTCATATGGGCTTCGTGCAACCCACGCACCACATTACATCCCTGATGAAAGACATATATTTACTTACTGATAGTTCTATCAAACAAGTCTAGGAAACAGCCCACTACATCTCCTATTTGATATTGCCTGCCAAATGGATCACTAGCACCAAAGTGTATCTTGATGGCCTATGTAATCATCAAGTGATCCCAAGAAACAAGAAAACATACAGACATTGCTCATGAAAATTTGTTACTAAAGTTCAAGTGGTCTCAACTTACAACTGAACTTTTATTCAATATTTCTGTTATACACTATACTCTTGGGGGGGGG